CACACACACACACACACACACACACATCATGGCATCCTATGCATACAGTTCTGCATCTTGGTTTTATCATGTGACAGTTTCTCTTAGAGATCTTTCTATATTGCTTCTGTCCTGGATCCAGTATGATTTACTCAATCAACTCCTTATGGATGAGGATTTAGGTTATTTTCCATCTCTGGCCATTTATTGGCTAGAATTTGTATTCCCATTCATATTTTAAAAACATACTGTGTGTAATCTTTGATATTCTTCTTTCACTAACAAATGCTGCCTTTTTGTTCTATGGTGCTATTTTTTGGGGGTTTGTTTTGTTTCTACAGGTCATTGATGCTGAAAAGAAAATTTCCTAACCCATTTGAAAGTGACAAGATGGTATGCTGTTTTGACAATTCAGGTTTAAGGTCACTTTAGTCATAAAGAGGAAGAGTTTCTTTTTTTGGTTTTTAAACGATTCATCAAAATTTCAACTCTTACTTGACACAAAACTGTCTTAAATCAAGTAGTAAGTAGCTAAAACACATTTATCTGGTAATCTCTATAAAACAAATCAGCCAGGTGAATTCTTAATACTCCCCCAAATTAAAAAGTCATAGGAAAGAAAAGTTAAATGTGGTAATGACTTACTTGTTTAGCTTCTTCTACCACCCCTCCTGGCACAAGCTGTCCGCTTGAAGGATTCATACCTAACTGTCCTGAAATGTAAACGGTCCTGTCGACTAACACAGCCTGACTGTAATGACAAAAATCTAGTGTCAAATACAAAATATAAAATTCAATGCCAAAAGATGTCTTAGATAGGACAAGAAAAACACAAACTGTAAAAGAAAAAAAAAAATTGATAAACTGGACTTCGTTAAAATGAACAACTTTTGCCAAAAGAAATCTTTAAGAAAATAAAAAGGAAGGTCAGAGGTTGGGAGAAATATTTGCAAAACAGCTATCTAACATACGGACAGTGATTTAAACATACATTGAACAACAACAACAACAGAAAAGATGTAAGAGCCAAGGAACACATGAAAGATGCCCAACATTATTACTCGTTTAGTCATTAGGAAGATGCAAATTAAAACTGCAATAAAATACCACTACACCCAGTAAGATCTGATTGATAATCACATGCAAGGATGTGGAGCAACTGGAACCCTCGTACATTGTTTATGGGAATACAAAAAAGTACGAACAGTCACTTTGGAAAACAGTTTGGCAGTTTCTTAAAAATTTAAACATAAACTTAACTTACAACCCAGCAATTTCTTTCCTGTATTTCTATCCAAGAGAAATAAAAACCTATGTCCATACAAAGACTTGTTCATTTTTTGAATAGGTAGAACATTCACTCCTTGGAAGGAAGATGGGGCGATCTATTTCTGTAGTGATACCGCCTGGGAAACCCAAGGAGGGGTCGCTATGATGGCACTCGATGGCAATGAGTCAGAACATTCATACAGTTTGATAATCCAGAAAAGATACAAAGAATCACATGAAAAGTCTCCTTCTATCCTGTTCCCCATTTGCTCAGTTCCCGGCCCTCACAGATAACCACTGCCCTTGTTTACACATCCCTCCAGAGTTTCTTCATGCATGTCAACCAAAGTAAGTATATATTTTGTTTTTCCCTTTTATACAAAATGTGGTATATTAAACTCTCTTAAACTTTACTTTTTTCACTTACCAGTATATCATCAAGATCTGTCCATCATGTATGTAGTATGTGGCCTCATTTTTTTCAAAGCTACTGCATTGTATTTCATATGTATAATATATTTGCCACCAATGTTTCCAATAATTTGCTATTACAAACAAAACTACAATGAAACACATTTTACATACACATCTGATTTTCCCTGAGCAAGTAAGGAAACCTTTCTTTCTTCTGCACCCCAGAGGTTCTGTTTGAGGGCTTCTGTTCGAGCCTTTCTTACAACTATGTGCAGCATCTGGCCTTTTATTATAGCTAGTCCTATTGTTATCCTAACGTGCCTTGGTGGCACAGTGGTTAAGCACTTGGCTACTAACCAAAAAGTCAGTGGTTCAAACCAACCAGCTGCTCATAGGAGATAGCCTTAGAAACCAATAGGGAAGTTCTACCCTTCTTATAGGGTTGCTATGAGTTGGAATTGATTCAGTGGCAATGGATTTTGGGTTCTTATCCTATTTCAGACTAAACTCATTGAGGGAGCCCAGGGACAGTGTTCTGGTTACCTAGTACCACTCTGACAGGAATACCACAAATGGGATGGCCTTAACAAAAAGGAGTTTATTCTTTCACAATTTGGAGGCTTTAAGTCCAAGTCCAAAGTGCCAGGCTCTAGGGGCTGGATGAAAGCCCCTCAACCTTGGGCTTCAGCTCTGCCTCTTGCTCCTGGCCCACTGAAGCTAGAGGCATCTCTTCACTCAGGCAGCTAGTGGCTGCTGAGGCTAACAAGCTCAAGGTTAACAAATAAAATGGCATAGTCCCAATGTTACCAAACGCACGGCAGGCCATTAATTCAAGTCCATTGTAAGTCCCCAGGTTGGCAGAGTATGGCAGGCTGCTGAAAAATGACATGGCTATATGCAGGGTCCAAGCGTGCCATAAGCTAGAGACCATTCCCCAAGGCTGCTCCTTATATGCAGGAAGCAGACCACATCCCAAAGGCAGCTACTCAGCTGCTTGTGGTAGATCCTACCATGGAGTTGATTGCCAATCTCATCATGGGGAATAACTACTACCAGCTGCCCAGCCACTCAACCAGGCCCAGCCAAGTTGACATACAAATTTAATACCACAGACAGTATCTTACTACATCTTTGTATCTGTGCAGGACCTAGGTGATTCCTTGCACATAGTGGGCACACTATAACTACTTGCTGATGTTT